TTTTGCCATAGTTTTAATTGTTAGATTTGTATTTCCACTCAATATAATGAGTGAATGATAATATCACGAAAGAGAATACAGATGCTTCGATACAGATGCATTTTGTTTGGAGCACATCATTTTATAATCGATTTCTTTAACTTGCCACTTTGTGTGAGTAAAAAGAAAAGGTGCCGCTAAAAATCATGGCGATATATATAGTGACCTTTATTGGCATAGCAATCTTTCAGCTTTCTCCATCTCGATAAATAGATAAACACATTGAAAGTTGCAATTTTCTCCACTGACATAAGTTCTCTCTATCCAAACAACTCTAGATTCCAATGTGCCTGAAAATTAGGCTAGTAATTCAGGTGAGGGTGAGCCTAATAATGCCCAATCCAGGTGAGACTCAAGCCTGCCAAGCCTATACGTTCCGTCGCCTATGGTTTTGAATATCGTTTTTCGTTTATTTCCTATCATATGACTAGGAATATGTTCATGGTGACTTGTTTTTCAATATTGTTTTTTGTTTATTTCCTATCAGAGCTGCCGGCCTGGCCTGCTGCCTTGCAGACGCCGGGTGGCTTGCCAGTCAAGCCACCTGGTCATGCTGAATTTTAAAATTTTGGTCTGGCCTGATCCGTCCATCTAATATCCGGTCTGGTTACCAGGCCAGACCCGGCCAAAATTGGTGGCCTGGCTGCGATATGATATTCATTTCTGTAGTAGTCATCGTGAAACATGAGATGGCACCACAAGTTGATGATTTTGTTCACTTTTAACTTCGTCATTTATAATTGGTGAATAGTATTCTGAAAAAAAATAAGGTGCCATACGAAACCATTTTTACAACGAAAGCGAAACCTTTTTTGAGGTTTCGTAAAAACCCAAGAGACGTCCAAAATGATCGTCTGAACTTTAGGAGTCTTTTCTTAAGATTTCAAAGATTTCATACGAAACCCTAAAAAGGTTTCGTTTGGGTTGCAAAATTCGGAACCTTTTAAAAGTTTCGTACCATGTGCGAAACTCTTTTTTTAGTTCTGTACCGTGTTCGGAACTTGTTTTAAGTTTCGTATCGCACACGAAACCATGTTTGGTTCCGTATGGTACCTTATTTCTTTTTGAGAGTATAGACCACAAGAGTGAACGAATTGAATGAATAAAGGAGAGGAGACAATATTTATGGTTGATTTATTTCAGCGAAAATAAAGAAAACAATGATTTTGTTTAATTGAAAGACAAAACACATATCTTTTTACAATTTTTTTTTTATAGGCAACAATTTAAATAAATAATGTCACCTGAACATATTCATCGTTTATCAATATCTTTTACTTCATCTATTTCTTCAATGTCAATTGATGATATTCAGATTTCATCCACTTCTCCTGCTTCATCTACTTCTACATCGTCAAATACAAATGTTTCATCATCTTCGTCAAATTCGTTATCATATTCTAGTGAACGAATATGTTATTTATTAAAACATGAAAAACCACAATACGATATTGTTGAAAATAATAGATCATCTCCTGTTGGCTCATATTGGGCTATTTTTGGATTTATATTTTCTTTTAACTCTTCGTCGTATCCCGGATCATATGTTGTTTTTGTTATTATGCTTAAATATCTTTCGATTATGTGAAGAAGTATTGATATCATCAAAAAATCTCGTAAATTCAAGTCTTTCTTGCATGAAAAATATTTAAGATGATTGTCTCTTTGTTTTAATTTGCTATTTTGTGCAAAAACTTGTTATTTCATTATCTTCATGAAAATAAATTAAATAAATAATTGAAATTGGAATCATGCATTAATGCAGAGTTATAGAATTTAATGGATTTGAAAAATCAGAAACATCAATTGGCCTGGTTTGGCCTGCAGGTCAGGCCAGGCCGCAGGCCACTCTTTGATTTTTGGCCTGGCCTGTAGGTTAGGTCAGGCCAGGCAGCAGGCCGGAAAAAGTGGCCTGTTGGCATCTCTGTTTCCTATCATATAAATAGGAAATATGTTCATGGTGATTTGTTTTCGAATATTGTTTTTCGTTTGATTCCTATCATATGAATAGGAATGTTTTGAAAGTGCGGTATAATGTTTCGTAGTCACCGTGATGACTAGTTTTTGAAGATGAATTTTGAAATGACTGGCTGTTTTCCAGAGAGAAGAAAACACGACTTGAATGCCGGATTTGTGCATATATTGAAAGTGATGCGAGTAGATTCGGATTAATTAGGAATGACATTTTAAGGATACGTTAGAAAGTAAACCAGTGCTTAGTTAGGTTCGAATAGTTATCAGAAGGCTGAATACTATTTGAGCCAAGGATAAATACAATGAACAGAAATGCATTAGGTGGTGTTTACATCTGCATGCATGAGCATGCATGTAGTTTTGAATGCATTGTAATGCATTAAACTTTTAATGGGTGCAATTACATGATAATGCAACCTATTTCATGCAATGTAATGGGTTGGGGTCTTCATCCATTGCAATTAATTACACTAAGTAATGCATTATAATGCATGAAATAGGTTGCATTATCATGTAATTGCGGCCATTGCATTTCTATTGAAAAATAATGCATTGCAATGTACATTATGTTGGCAAATCGGCTAAATGGGTATGCCCACCTATACATTACTAATAAATTATATCTAACTAAAACTTTTTCTTTTTCTTTTCTCCTAAATTACAGGAGTACTCCTATCTACATACTGTTTATAAATTATATCTAACAAAAACTTTTTCTTTTCCTTTTCTCCTAAATTACAGGACTACTTCTACCTTTATACCGTTTATAAATTAAATCTCAGTAAAACTTTTTCTTTTCCTTTTTTCTAAATTTGCAGGACGGGTGTATGTATATTCATATATCACTTATAAATTATAGCTAAGAAAAACTATCTTTTTTCCTTTTTTTTTACCAAAGAGGAAACTGGCTGTTGGTTTTCTTCATTTATTTTCGAATTAGAATTAGACAACTCATGATTTTATGAGAACCTATAAACGTTAAACTCATATAAATATTAAAGCATTTTCCACCTTTTTTCAACAAATATTGGAACAACTTTAACTCAAGGTAATTTTCAATTGAAATAAAATTTATCTTTATCTTTCTGCCTCTAGTTATAGAAAAAACTTACCTCAATTTTAAATTATAATTAGGGAAAAGCTTTATCTTTTCCTATTTTGCCAGAGTTATACGATAGTCCCTATGTAAATTATAATTTATAATTCGAAGAAATTTTATCTTTTGCTTGTGCCTGATAGATACTGATGGAGTTTTAGACATTTTCATTCATATTCTAACTCGAATTAGGCAGCTACTCCTTATCATCAAAGATCCATGCAAATGATCGTCTGATTGTCAATGGTTAAGTAATCGAATACTCCAAAAAACATTTCTGCTAGATTCATCTAGTTTTACCTGAAACCGAATCAAAGTGTACAAGTCAAGATAATTGCTTTCATTTAAAAATAAGTTTAATAGAAAAGCAGGAGTTGAAGCGAACGTTTGATGTTCATGATGATACTACTCATGCTCAGATGCACAAGCGTTTCCAACTTTGATTGTGTAAACGGTA